GAAAGCGAAAGGTCTAAGAAAGGGCTGGGGCCACTGGGCTATTTTCACCTTTTATTCAATGGCCTTGGATTTGGAGGCTTCAATTTTTGTTTTATTTTTATAGTTTTCCTGTATTCTTCCACTTGTCAGTAAGCCATTGTTTTCTCTGTGCTACTGCTTTTAATATTATACCCCTTCCTATGTCTAAATTTTCTTTTCTTTATTGTAATAGAAATAAGTTAAAGCTGGGCTCCAGTGGTTCACACCTGTCATCCCAGCTACTCAGGCTGGCTTTGATCTACTATCCTCAGATCTCAGCCTGGGCAGAAAGTCCATGAGACTCTGGTTTCCAATAAATCACCAGAAAACCAGAAATGGTGCTGTGGCTCAAGTGATAGAGTGCTCAACTTGAGCTGAAGAGCTCAGGGACAGTGCCCAGGCCCAGAGTTCAAGCCCCATGATAGAAAGAAAGAAAGAAAGAAAAGAAAGAAAGAAGGAGAGAGAGAAAGAAAGAGAGAAAGAGAGAAAGAAAGAAAGGGAGAAAGAAAGGGAGAAAGGAAAGAAAGAAGTTAAAATATTAACATTTCTTTACTTTTGTATAATATGTAACTTAATCTGCACTGGGGGAGGAAGGAAGGAGCTCTGTTCTTTTATTATTTTTTGCCAGTCCTGGGGCTTGAACTCAGGGCCTGGGCTCTGTCCCTAAACCTCTTTGTGCTTTAGGCTAGCGCTCTTCCACTTGAAGCACAGCACCACTTCTGGCTTTTTCTGCTTATGTGGTACTGAGGAATCAAACCCAGGGCTTCATGCATGCTAGGCAAGCACTCTACCACTGAACCACCTTCCCAGCCCCAGGAGCTCTGTTCTTGAAGAACTGAAAAAGATATAAACAACTCCAATTCTTTCCTATCTTTTACACATAGACTTTCATATATTTCTTTCTTTTGGTTCAGTTCCACCAAATTTGTTCTTTTTAGATCAGCTGAATTCAGCCTTTTCATATAGTAATTTCTACTTTGAACTACACAAAGTTCATACAACTCTGTTAGTTTGAGAAGTTTCATTTTTCTATCCTTTTGTTTTATAAAATAAACTCAATCCATTAAACCAGCTGGAAGCCAAGCAGCTGTGAGTTCTCTTGGTTCTCCCTCTTTCTTGTCCACAAAGGGCTGTACCTGAGATGGTTCCATGTTCCTACGAACAACCATTTGAAGATCAAACAGTAAAATGTTCACGCTTCCCATGCGGTGCCAGACAGACCTAAAGATGCCTTAGCTGTCCTAACTGAGTTTCTCCTATGGAAAGGTCTGGAACCTGAGATCATTGGGAACCACCCAGAAGAATTCAGACTGACATTGAAGTTCAGTTTGAAGGTGTCAGTGTTTTGTTTTGTTTTGTTTTTTAAAGAGCAAGTTGTCTAAAATCGGAGGTCTTGGTTTGTTGTGGCTGTCCTCTCAGCGAGGTTGGGTAGGGCTTGAGAGGCCAACAAATGAACTTCAGGCTGACTTCATTCCCACAGCCTCCTTTCCATCTGAGGTCACCGCTAGGTTCTGAGTGAAGAGGATATACATGAATGTAATAAATGTGATCAGGAGTGATGTTTTGTATCTAGTGAATCCAGTGATGTGAAAATGGAAGTGGCTGGTAAGCAGTAGAGATGGTAGAAATTTGGAAGTCAGGCATCATTTTGCTAATGATTTGTATCAGGTTGAACTGACTTTCACAGAGCAGGTAGGTTTTGGGCATGAAATGGAAGAAAAGTCCCAATTCACAGGAAAGACTGAAGATGAGATGCTAGACTACAGTGGGAATTATAACTTTGATTGTGTGTGTGTGGGGGGGGAATAAACACACTCATCTATCTGGAAGAGTGGTTGCGTGTGTCAAGGATAGGAATTGAAACAGGAGGTGTAGAAGCTTTGTCAGGACTTGGCTCAAAGGGGTCTTTCAACACTAGCCTAGAGACTTTGCCTCTACAGACTTAATGCTGAGTACTTTCGTGTAGGGCTACCAGCCTTGAGTCTTTGGACGTCGATGTCTGTGCATTAAGGGATGACAGGGAGTCATGGCATAGTCTACAATGGAGCCTAACACCTTGCTTAGGGTGCTAGTGATCTCTTCTGCCAAGACAGAGCTTTCATGGGAGGCTCCCAGCCTCACCCTGACAGGCAGGAACCGTGCTTTTCTGCCAACAGCAGCCAAATACATGCCTGCTGAAAAGCTAACGCCAAAAATGAATTCCACTGTTTCCAACCCCAGGCAGTTTCCCTGCTGACAATAATATTCAGCTCTCCTCATTGAAGAGCTGTGATCAAATAGATCCTGAGAACTGAAGATAGTTCATCTGAGTGATTTAGTCATTACTGAAGTTACGTTTCTTGGGATAAAAGCCTCATTTTGATATTGGGGCTGTTTAGATGATTGGTGATGGCATTTGCTATACAAGAGAAACCGTGAAGTCCTTATCTCAGAAATATTTTGGAATGTTAACTAGGAGAAGAATAAAACTAGAATATTCAGTAGTATTAGTGAAAATTGTGCTAGGATTTGTCTGTATTCAACAAAGTCACAACTATCTGGGCTTCTTGAGTATGTGTCATCCTAATAGATAAGTCAAAAGAGTGTCATAGATGTTTATTTTAATGTTTTGTTTGCACTGCCTGCTAGCAGATGACAGCCTGGATATTACCACAAATGTTTGCGCCAATGTCTGATGGGCTCAGAAGGGATGTCACAGCTTAGGGATTAGTTCTCTGTTGCTGCGCACTAGATTAACCTGAAATTTAGTGGCTTCAGATGACAATAAGTATGATCTGCTATGATTTATGTGATGTGGGAATATTGAAGTATTTTTTTGGGGGTGGGGAAGGTGGTGATGAAAATGCCGACTGGGGCCCCTGTAGTCAGAAGACTCGACAGGGCTGGGGGAATCTGCACTCATGGGGACTCCCTTGCTTGGCTTCTCTACAAGGCTGTCCTGGTTACTGGTTCCCCCAGAGCCAGTGGTTTGGGAGAATAAAGTGGGTGTTGTCGACTTCTGAGGTTATAGAGACCTTGCTCTTGGTATGAGCTGGACTCTGAAAGATCTGAGTCCTCTCAGGCTTGCTTTGAGGCACTCATTCTGTATGTGATTACGTCAGCTCCATGTTTGGCTCACAAAGGAACTGGAATCCATGACTGTACATAAAGCCAAAATGAAATTCACCAAAATGGCAGAAGTATCACTGAGTTTATTATTGGAACATGGAGCTGCTACTGGTTGTTGTTTTAAAAGAGAAATTACATAGGAACTTAAAATAATTTTATAATGTAAATTAAGTAGATTAGGCTCAGTAGGGTTTATCAGGATGGGTTTTCTACCTGCATTTGTTGATTAATGAGATCATGCATGTAAATGTGCTTTGAATGCGCCTTGCTTAGGTATTTTTCTCTCGTCTTGTATGTGAATATTATTATGCTGGTGTAGCAATGATATACTCAGGGCTCAGTTCATGTTACAGTAGGATGATGTATTTGCTGTGCTTTGATCCCATTCAGGAGATGAATCATGTTCGGCATCCTGTTAATACCTGCTTGACTTGGAACCATAGCATCACACCATTCAAACGAGTCCTGCTTCGGAGGATGTCCGAAAGCCTATTTTGCCTTCTACATATGTCTGTTTTTATACTGATCTTAAGATCATACTAGTTTAAAGTCAAAATTAAATGATTAAAATCAGTGTTGTTCTGATAGTGTTGATCAATTTCTCAACTGTACTGGGAGAGATAGCCTTGCTGTTCAACCAGTTTGGAGAAATCATATGTTCAAAATTCAAACTGGTCTCATGGGGCCTGGCTGTGGTTGTGACGTCTCACTTTCCTGGGGCCAGAGACTTGAACAGAAGTGGGAGGATTGAGCTTGTGAAATTTGGGTTATCGGATTCCCATGCATACCAGTCAGTGTGCATTTATAGAGACAACCAAAGAGATAGCTGCCCAGACTCAGACAATTATAGGTGTGTCCTGTTTTATACAACAGCTGCTGCCCTAAAACCTCTTGTCAATCAACATGATCAAGGAGAAGGGGGAGGGGAAAGCTGTGCTTAAATCCATGGTAAACCCTTTATTTCTTGTGGAGTCCAGGTTTCCTTAATCAGATTTCTTTCAATGAGAGATGTTTGTAGGCATTCTACTCTTCTGTTTTTATTTAGAGAACAAAATAAACCTTTGAAAATTTTGATTCCTACTATATGAGAATGCAGGGAGTAATGAGAAGGTATCTGATTGTCTTGTTGTTTGCTTGTCTTTTTGCATTCTCATAGTGGCTGTTAGTTTATTAACTTATGAACACTGGCATTTGAAAATATGATAAGTATATTGTGTCTAGATCCGAGATGGTGTTTCCATGTGCTGTGTGGAAGCTGAAAGTTGTGAGGGAGGACATTTCTCTCGGGGAGGAGAACAGACATGGTGCTCTCCTATTCCAGAAAAGTCACATTCCATTGCCATAGCCTCATTAAAGTAGTGTGTGAAAGAAGATGCTTGCTTTACCTGTTTTATTGGTAATTGTCAATATCTGTTTTCACTGGTATTTCAAGTGCACTTTGAGAGATAGTAATGCTTTTAATGGTACAATAACATAGTTATTATTTAAGCAAACCTGGTGAATTAACTTTCCAGGCAATAGGTAGGACAAAAGCATTCAGTTACAAATGAAGAGGATAAGGAGAGGGAGAATGCAGTTAAGAATTCAATGTAAATCCTACAAACTTTGAGGGAGGGGGTGGGTGGCGAGGAATGGGTGAGAATGTGGAAAGGGGTGACATGGATCAAGATGTGTTGTGTTCATAAACTGCTTTGCTAAACGGCAACTCCTTTGTATAGTACTAAAAGATAATAAAACAAAACAAAAAAGAAACTCAAAAAGTAATGTTAGATAAGATAATGTATAGTATTGTATGAAAATCTAATTTTAGAGTCAGAGAAGTTATACAAAAGTGACCTGACTTTCAAATTTGTTTTCACAATTTTATTTTGCAGAATAACAAAGCCATTGACCTTTGCTGATTGTGTTGGGGATGAACTTCCTTTAGGATGGGAAACTGTGTATGATAAACAAATCGGAATTTATTATATGGACCACATAAATAGTAAGTAGAGTACCACATTTGTATCATTATATGTGAATGAATTTTCAAGCTTGAATTCAGAATCACTAAAGCCCTATTTTATAAAGCACAACAATCATGGCTGGCCATGCAACATGAAACAGAACTTTATACATGTATATGTTTCCTTAGCTGAGTTCTCAGTACATGAAACCGACCTCACGTCTGTCTTGCTGAGGGCCGCATATAATATGTTTAATAAGGAATACATTTTTCACGTAGTCTGGAAACAGAAAGACCTCTCATGAAAAGGTTATTTATGAAAAGCTCATGAGTTCTTAGAACTGTAAGTGCCCAAATGATTTCTTTAGCTTTGTATTTTCCATTTAATCTTAATACACTAAACTTTTTTGATGTGTGTGTGTGTGTGTGTGTGTGTGTAGATAATGGTGAAAGATTGTAGAATTATCTGGAACAGTGGTTCCCAACATGGGGTTTATCATGACCCCCAGAGACACTTGGCAACATGTGGAGGGAGGCATTTGCCATAGCCAAGCCTGTGAGGGATATAGCTGGCATCTAGGTGGAAGCCAGGGATGCTGCTCCACATCCTGCAATGCACAGGCAAGCCCCACCACAGACAGGAAATAGATCCCAAATGTTAAGAGTATGAGACAGAGGCTCTACCTCATTCAAGATGTATCAACCATCCCTCCTATCAGCCATCTTTCTCTTTCTTCCTTCCTTCCTTCCCTCCTTCCTTCCTTCCTTCCTTCCCTCCCTCCCTCCCTCCCTCCTTCCTTCCTTCCTTCCTTCCTCCCTCCCTCCCTCCCTCCCTCCCTCCCTCCCTCCCTCCCTCCCTCCCTCCCTCCCTCCTTCCTTCCTTCCTTCCTTCCTTCCTTCCCTCTTTCCTTCCTTCCTTCTCTCCTTCCTTCCCTTCCTCCCTCCCTCCTTCCTTCCTTCCTTCCTTCCTTCCTTCCTTCCTTCCTTCCTTCCTTCCTTCCTTCCCTCCTTCCCTCCCTCCCTCCTTCCTTCCCTCCCTCCCTCCCTCCTTCCTTCCTTCCCTCCTTCCTTCCTTCCCTCTTTCCTTCCTTCCTTCCTTCTCTCCTTCCTTCCTTCCCTCCTTCCTTCCCTCCCTCCTTCCTTCCTTCCCTCCTTCCTTCCTTCCTTCCTTCCCTCCTTCCTTCCCTCCTTCCTTCCTTCCTTCCTTCCTTCCTTCCTTCCTTCCTTCCTTCCTTCCTTCCTTCCCTCCTTCCTTCCTTCCTTCCCTCCTTCCTTCCTTCCTTCCCTCCCTCCCTCCTTCCTTCCCTCCCTCCCTCCCTCCTTCCTTCCTTCCCTCCTTCCTTCCTTCCCTCTTTCCTTCCTTCCTTCCTTCTCTCCTTCCTTCCTTCCTTCCCTCCTTCCTTCCTTCCCTCCTTCCTTCCTTCCTTCCTTCCTTCCTTCCTTCCTTCCCTCCTTCCTTCCTTCCTTCATTCCTTCCTTCCTTCTCTCCTTTCTTCCTTCCCTCCTTCCTTCCTTCCCTCCTTCCTTCCTTCCTTCCTTCCTTCCTTCCTTCCTTTCTTCCCTCCTTCCTTTCTTCCCTCCTTCCTTTCTTCCCTCCTTCCCTCCTTCCTTCCTTCCTTCCTTCCTTCCTTCCTTCCTTCCTTCCTTCCTTTCTTCCCTCCTTCCTTTCTTCCCTCCTTCCTTCCCTCCTTCCTTCCTTCCTTTCTTCCCTCCTTCCTTCCCTCCTTCCTTTCTTCCCTCCTTCCCTCCCTCCCTCCCTCCTTCCCTCCTTCCTTCCTTCCTTCCTTTATTTCTTCCTTTCTCTCTCTCTGTCTCTCTCTCTTTCTTTCTTTTCTTTTTTTTGCTAGTCCTGGGGCTTGAACTCAAGGCTTGTGCTCTGTTCCTGAGCCTCTCTCTGCTCAAGGCCTGCACTCTACCACTTGAGCTGACAGTGCTACTTCACCTTTTTCTGAGTAGTTTATTGGAGATAAGAATCTTATGGACTGTCCTGCCTGGGCTGGCATCGAACCATGATCCTCAGATCTCAGCCTCCTGAGTGGGTAGGATGACAGGCGTGAGCCACTGATGCCCAGCTGCATCAGCCATCTTTAATTAGAGTTCAGCTAGGGTTCCAGTTCTCACTCTCTCATTTTCATTCTAGCTTCCCTTAGTGTTTCTGTCATTGCCATTCTGTGAGGGACATGAAGCGTGGCTTCTCTGGTCCGCTTTGTAGCCCTTTAGTTTATTAAATCTGGGGGCTGGAGAGGCATGATGTTCCCTACCTGAGTGATTTTGAAGCTCTTTTCCCACTCACGTCCTGAAACTTCTCATGCTTCCTTATTGTGATTGGTCCAGCCTGGGGTCTCAGGGCTGATTCCCAGGTTTTTGTTGGCCTGCATCCTTTTAGAGTTGAATCTATCTGTCTTACATCTTAGGGTGGTGGGGGTTCCTGTACTGGACCTGGATAATTGCAAGTTTTATGAAAGACAGGCCATTGGTGATTAAAGATGGGGGTTAAGTACTGTCTTGACCCAGTGCCCTTCCAAGAAGGTAGCCCTTCCAAGAAGGGGCAGGACACTTCCTCGAGTCCACTACCCACTGGGAAGGGTAAGATACCTGTCAGAAGAGAGGCTGAGAGGCCTCAGCTGAAGGTGACCCTTATAGTAGCCCAAAACCTCAAGTAAATGTGGCTTTCCAGGCTGTCTTCCCAGTAATGACTCAAAGGGATAGCTCTTGATACATGAGACGTGTCCCTCTCTGCTCTGTGGGACTTGGGTATTGTGGCTGCATCACCAGGTTTCATCCTTCTGCAGCCAAGTGGCACAGATACTTACCAAATGGCATAGACATCTTCCTTACACAGCCTTTTTAGGTTGCTTGCAACCTGCTGCTGTGGCCTGGGACCTGTTGTGGCCTGGCTCTGGTGAACCTAGCTTGCCCATTCCCCTGTCCCCCCTTGTTTGCCACTGACCTTCCTTGCCCACTTGCTCACTGAATCACAGCGAGTGTTTATAGAGGGTCACTGTGCTGCCCACTCAGTGCAGGCCCTAGAAATTTGCTCTTCTAATGGATTATTTCATTATCTGTAGACTTCTCACCTGAACTGTGGATATGTAAGTCGAGGGTATACCATACTTTAGAAAGACTTACGATGCATCTCGCAATGTGCGCTCTGGTAATTAATTACTTTTCATATGGAGTAGCAACATGACTGAATAACTGTTGGTCAACCTACTGACTTTACCCTCAACTCACTTGTGTTCCTGCTCTTTTCATTTCAGAGCTGACCCAGATTGAGGATCCAAGAGAGCAGTGGAGACGAGAACAGGAACGGATGCTGAAGGAGTATTTAATTGTAGCCCAGGAGGCCCTCAATGCCAAGAAAGAAATCTACCAGATCAAGCAGCAGCGGTTCGAGCTGGCACAGGAGGAGTATCAGCAGCTGCACAAACTCTGCGAGGATGACGGCCGCTCATATGCTAGCTGTGAGTTGAGTTGTCTTCTGTGGTGAATATATTCCACTTTAAGAGCTATCCTATTTGCTGGTTTCTCTTCAAATACCCAGCTTTATTTGGGCGAGATAGCTTTCTAAAGATTTCAGTCACATACTGTTAGGTAATCAATAGTTATCAAGTGTCTACTTGGTGCCCAGACACTGGGGTGTGGTAATCACTTACAACGAAAGGTCAAGTGGGGATGATAACAAGTAAACAAGCACACAAAATCTCAGGCTACGATGTGAAACATCTTCTGTCTCATTTTGGAGCAGACTTCACCTGAAGATCATTATAGTTAATACTGCTTGTCTCAAATGATCTCTTGGGAAAGTGATGCAGTAGTTCCCTTTATCCTGAGTGGGGAGATCCAGGAATCTGGAGGTCTGTCAAGTGCCTATCTCTGTAGAGCTCTTTCTTGGGCTTTAGGTTATTGGACGGTTCAGTGAAGGAGCAGGAGCCATGTCTATCCCAGAGCCTTGGGAGCATTTTTCTTTGACCCTCAAAGAAGAGGCTATGCCTTGTTATCCTCAGAAGGAACCTTTTCTTAGTTTTAGAGACTGCCAGAGATGGGCTGCCATTTCATTAGTATTTGGCAGGTGTCCTGTTATGGAAGGAGTCAGTTTCAGTCTCAGAAGCCAAACCTTTTGTTCTCAATAGTCATTTACTTCTTGAGCCAGTCTCTTCCCAATAGAGTTGTCACACTGCACAATTGATCACAGGAGCACATGGCTACCACTTTTTTTTTGGTGGCAGTGAACTTGACAAGGATATATGTACATGATGTTGGTCTTACTAGGTTTTATTTGATCAGTACCTCAGTAGGATTTGAGGCATAGGAGAGGGGGACCTATGTTGGACCTTGTTGCCTGGTGTTTGACTCTGGTGACAGAGCTTTGAACACTAACAAGATACTCATACTTTATTCTGTGTGGCAAGTCAGAATGGAATTAAGGCCAAAACAAATCACAGCTACTGTTGAAGTTGAGAAAAACATAAGAGTTGTAGACAGTGATGAAGGTAATAGGAATTTAAGATATTTCTATTTCTGTGTACCTTGAAGGGAATGTAGGTGACACAGGTATAATGATGTGTTGCTTCAAGTCATCTTATGGCTTGGTCTTCAGATATTGATTCATACCAGTTTGTATGTATGTATGTATTTATTTATTTATTTTTGTTGGTCATGGGGCTTGAACTCTGGGCCTGGGCACTGTCCCTGAGCTCTTCAGCTCAAGGCCAGCACTCTCCCTCTTGAGCCATAGTGCCACTTCCAGTTTTCTGGTGGTTTATTGGAGATAAGCTTCTCACGAACTTTCTTGCCTGGGCTGGCTTTGAACCGCTATCCTCAGATCTCAGCCTCCTGCATAGCTAGGATTACATGTGTGAGCCACTGGTGACCAGCCCAGTTTACTTTTTTAAACTTTCCATCAGAAGGCAATAGGTTAGCTCCTTGTTGAATTTTAGAGGCTAGTTTCTTCTCTCCACAGTTAAAAAAAATAGTCTTTTTCTCTGATTTTCTCTGATTTTAACAGGGTGATACTGGCCCCATAGAATGAATTGAAAAGTGTTCTCTTCTTGACTCTTTTCTGGAAATTTATGTAGGGTAGACATTAATGTTTCATTCTCTAGAAAATCCATTAGGGTTGGAAGTTCTTTGGAGGAATATTCTCAACTATAGGTTTTAATATCTTTAATAGATACAGGTCTATTCACCTGTATTATTCCTCCCTCCCTTCCCCCCCTCCCTCCCTCCCTCTCTCCTTCCTTCCTTTCTTTCTTTCTTTCTTTCTTTCTTTCTTTCTTTCTTTCTTTCTTTCTTTCTTTCTTTCTTTCTTTCTTTCTTTCTTTCTTTCTTTCTTTCTTTCTTTCTTTCTTTCTTTCTCTCCCTTCCTTTCTTTCTTTCTCTTCCTTTCTTTCCTTCTTTCTTGCTAGGCCTGGGTGCTGTCCCCAAGCTTCTTTTGCTTAAGGCTCACACTCTACCACTTGAGCCACAGTGCCACTTCCGGTTTTCTGCTGGTTAATTGGAGATAAGAGTCTCACACAGTTTCCTACCTTGGCTGGCTTTGAACCACGATCTTTAGATCTCTGCCTCCTGAGTAACTAGGATTACAGGCGGTTTCTGTATTTCTTCTTGAATCAGTTTTTTTTCCCCCAGAGAATTCGTCTATTTCAGCTAATATAAAAAATAGCAAGCTTTTCTATCACAGTTCAGTAGGGAATGTTTTAGACTTTGTGGGCCATTCCATCAATCCTATTATTGTGCAAAAGCAGTCAGAGACACCAGGTAAACGAGTGTCTGGCTATGTTCTAATAAAACTATAAAAACAGGTAACAAGCCATATTTGGCCCACAGGGAGTTTACCAAATGGTAATCTGAGCTGCCAAATTGACAGACCTCTGTGAGATCTGAGTGGATGGCCTTTCTTTGTGTCATCTTTTAATCAGTGTAGCTGAACATAATTTCTTTTTATTATGAACTGGACTTTGGTTTTCTTTTTTCCATATTTGTTATAGTTTCCTATTATTTTTTTAAATTATTTCCTCTTTCCTACTTAGTTTGCTTTTAATTTCTTCCTCCTTTTCTAGCATCTTGAAGTGGAAACTTTATAGATTACTGATTTTAGACCTTTCTCATTTTCTCATGTAGCTTTTAAAGGTATAAATTCTCCTCTCAAGTTCTTTTAACTGCATCCCACAGATTTTGGAATGCATACTTTTCATTCAGTTAAAAATATTTTCTCATTTCTTTTATAATTTATTTTTTGAACCATAGGTTCTTTAGAAGTGAGGATTTAAAAATATACCATGTTGTTATCGATTTCTGGTTTAATTCTATTGTTGATAAAACTATACTAGGTAAGATTTCAGCCTTTTGAGATCTATTAAGATGACTTATTGGCTTCTCTTGGTGATCTCGTCGGATCTGAAGCTAATGGACTTGGTGTGTCAAAGTCACACCTAGCTGACACATTGGCTTATCACTGGTTCTGAGATGATATAGTTAGCAATTGTAAACTTTTCAGAAAGTATTTAAAAGAAGCCAGTTTGAACCAAATATAATTGTCATTTTTGTGGTGAAAAAAGGGCTGAATATTGCCAGTTTCTTATAATTTATTCTAATAGTGTATTTCTTTATAGTAGCCCTTAGGTACTTTATCTGTTACAAGATCAAGTTGTGTTAGGTTGCAAATCAATTTTTAATTTTTTTTAACCTCAAACAACTCTATTCCATTATTTGTCTACTAAAAATGAATTTTAAGGGACTATAGAGAGAAAATACAATAAGATACTTAATAACCACATTTCTCCAGTATTACATACTAAAGAAAGAATTAAATACTAAAATTTAATACTAGTATTAATACTCAAGCGTAAAATACTTAAGATTTATCTCTTATGTCAGCAATTCCCAACTTCATGGAACCTTTCCCCACAAGGAATATACATTATAAGTATCATTAATATAGTTTCATAGGTTCATGGTCCCCCAGGAGTTTTATTCATAGACTTCACTTTTTCATGTATATACTAGAAATGCCACCTTCTTATAGTCTAACTTATTTTATAAAATGACCAATGTTACCAGTTAAAAACTATCTAGAGTACTAAGGAACAAAATCATGCAACTTTAACATATTTTTTAGATGTTTCCTACTTTTAAGACTAAAGAATGAGGGGCTGGGAAGGTGGCTCAGTGGTAGAGCGCTTGCCTTGCATGCCTGAGGCCCTGGGTTCGATTCCACAGCACCACATAAGCAAAAAGGAAAAAAGCCGGAAGTGGCGCTGTGGCTCAAGTGGTAGAGCACTAGCCTTGAGCTGAAGAGCTGAGGGACAGCACCCAGGCCCAGAGTTCAGGCCCCACGACCGGACACCCCCCTTCCCCCCCCCCATCGCCAAAAAAAAAAGACTAAAGAATGAGCTGGGTACTGGTGGCTCATGAATGCAATCTGAATGAAATGGAAAAAGTACATATCAGAAAAACTCAGCAGTAAGTTTCCTGCCAGTAATTGTAAAGAAAAATAGAGTCAAAAGAAGGCATGTGTTATGTACTATCTGGTACCAATATAGTCAGAACATCAACTGAAGTGAGTGTAGACACTCAGGACTATATTCCCTTAAAGATGCAGATATGCATCTTACATGGAGTACCTTCGAGTACCCATATTGGGTAAGGAGCAAAGAGAGGAATCCAATGTAGTATTGAGCCTCTGAATTATGGTTATTTAATACTTAGAATCCTATGAATTTGAGATATTCAACAAGATCAAGTTTTGTATTTCCATGGACTTTTCACCCCCTTGACATTTGGGGAAATAGGAATTATACTGAAATAACTTCCAATACCCCATGGAATTTCATTAATGTCCAACAAGAAGAAATATTCAAGATACTCTCTTGGAAGTGGCATCCATTTCTTTAATACAGGTAGCTGATGATTCTGTGGTATTGAGATTCCATTGCTGGACCTGCTCAAAGTCTTCCTTCTTCCCTGTGAGCAAGTCATCTTGAAAGCCAGACTCAGGCCTGCTTGTTTTCATGAAAGGACTGGAGATGCCAGTGGAGCTTCCTGGGGCCTATCAGCTCACCAGGGAAAAAGTCAGCTATGAATGGAATCTAGGAGCTAATCCAAGTGGTTTATCAAGTTGCTGCTGTCTCTAGGGTTTCCACCAGGCCCTTTTAGTCTGCTGTTTAACCTGAGCTACTGATTACAATGAGGAAAACCCTGCTAGTCATGACTCAAATAAATTCTTTCTGGCCACAGCGTAAAGTTCAGTACAGTGATTCTGTTGGCTTGAATCACTGTGATCTAACAGATGGCTTGCTTGTATGGCCAAGCCAGGGCTGGGTCTATGTTAGGAGCGGCTTATGGCCATTTCCATAGCACACCTGGCTGAGGTCAGCCACACAGGATCTCTCTCAGTACCAGCTTGTCATCTCAAGCGGGGGTGGGAGGTGGGTGTGGGGGGGTGTCTCCTTGTCTTGGTACTGGGAACTGAATATCCTGGATTTAGTTCCCATTAGTTCCTTTACTGGTAATAAACAGAAGCAAAAGGAAACATTATTCAATAAGCTAGTGTTTCATATGCATTATTGTGGTTGCCACATTGTGAAGCATGTGCTATTATGGTCATTGTTCTCTTGAGAAACTGAATATCACTAAGACTAAATCACTTTCTTCAAGGTTATTTGCCTGGGAAGTGATGAAACTTGGATTTAAATCCAGATCTGTTGTGGCTTTCAGTTTTGTGTTGTATTTCCTAGACAAAGAACAGGCAGTTCAAAAGAGCTGATTGTACTTTTGGATCATTTGTATTGCCCCTGCCCCCCTCCACTGCCTTACCATTTTCAGGTTATCCGAAAATAAAGATTGGCTATAAATCAACAAGTAAAGAGGGCAACAATAAAGGGGGCAAGTGGAAGGTAGAACACTTTCTACTTCTTGACTTTCTCATGGTCTATATAGAATCACAAAATTATTCAATCATATTTTGGACAGATGTTTATTTAGCACCTGCTGTTGGGGACACAGAAACATCCATAATGGCTGATTGATTGTAGGGGAAAATGAGGTAATAATGATGAGCATAAGATTGAACTACAATGGCCATTTCTAAGGTTGGAGCAGAAGGGTGTGGGGAGGACTGAAGAAGGGGAAGTGTATCTTGCCCACACCCTTCACAGATTTCCCCTGAGCTATGGAAATCACCAGAATAAGACTCTATTCATTGGAGAGGAAAGATTTTTGTGTCAATGTTGGGCCATCTGGTATCTAAGAATATCTAAGCCTTGACCTTTTTTGTTCCTGACAAAAACAAATTCAGATGCTGTGTTGAATTAGCACACACATGTCTCCAGGAATCAAGATCTGAGCTCTCTTTTATTTCTGTGAGCCCTGGATCTCACTGCCTGGCACCCAGTCCTATTTTGTGCTTTGTAAGGCACTGGGATATAACTACTCTACAATAGATTCATTCAGTGATATACCCAGTACTTTTTTTTGTTGTTTGGTCGTGGGGCCTGGTGCTGTCTCTGAGCTCTTTAGCTCAAGGCTAGCATTCTACCACTTGAGCCATCGTACCACTTCCAGCCTTTTCTGCTTATGTGGTGCTGAGGAATCGAACCCAGGGCCTCATGCATGCAAGGCAAGCGCTCTACCACTGAGCTACCTTCCCAGTCCTTTCCAGCTTCATTTTGTAGAGTTCTCTCCTATATTTTTCATTTCAACATGTTCATGTATTTGTCTTCCTTTTATCACTGAATCCATTATCTTCAAAACTTTTTTTTTTTTAACTGGAGTTAGTCTTTGATTTTTGAGAAACTTTGCCTCTGCATGTATTCACTTAGCTATGTGACCATTTGCAGGATCTTTTGGAAGAAATTCTTATAAACTTACTTTAAGCCCACAAGCTGACGTTGTCAATGCAAGTGTTTGCAAATAATGTTTTTGTGGAACACAGCCATGACCACTCACTTGCTTATTGTCTATAGTGGCTGCTGTTTACAACAGCAGAATTGATTATTTGAGACAGACTCTATGGGCCCCCCCCCCAAAGCCAAATATATTTATTCTCTGCCCCTTTAAAGAAAAGCTTTCCTATCCATGGTCTACACCAGTATTCTCAGTCCTGGCTGTAAATTTGAATCTCCCAGAGGGCCTTTACAAACTATACTACTTCTTGGTCCCTATGCTGAAAAATTTGGGTTTAAAGTGGCTTTGGTTGGGGCCAAACATTTTTGTTTGTGTCTTTAACGCCCCCCCCCCCCCCCCCCCGCCCCATGGCTCCTGAGTCAAGGTCCACTGGTCTAAAGTGATCTGCAGATGCCCCTTTTAGCAGCAGGATATGACTGTTACCGTGGCTCTGTGAGTGAGACACCAAGAGTGCTTTTGGGTGCCTGGGAAAGAGTCCACCTTATCTCGGTGAGAAAGTGCTGACTCACCCTGGATTCTTGGGTCAGGTGGTGGAAGAAGCTTGACCTTATCAGCCATGAGTCCTGCCAACATTCTTTCTGAGACTCCAAACCCATCCCACTCAGACTATCTCACATCGGCTCTGCTAAAGGGTTTCTCATCTGCTGTCTGGGTTAGGATAAGGGCTGCAGGCAATCTGCTCAGCCCTTTGTTTTCCTTCACACAAGCATGTTGGAGCAGGCAGGAGAAAATGGATCTCGCAGCAGTTTTCACATGTATTAGCTGGCACGCCTCAATCTTGAAGGCTATAGCAGTGATAATCCCTCAGGAGCCCAGGTCCCAGACATGAGTCCTTCCCCGAATGATGCTTTAGTATAGGTCAAGTCATTGCAAACTTAGTCTTTTAATCTATAAAGTGGAAAACATAATCATTCTCTCCCTTTCACAAAGATTTTTATGAGGATAGATGAAATCCACGTGAAAGGCACACTATAATAGCAAGGCATAGTCATTTTCATTGTTGTGGTCCAACTAAGCTATACCCTTTTTATTATATCATCCAAAGCAATATTATATGTCTGAGCAGACTCTTTGAGCTCTTTAATCACTTCGTACACTCAACTCTCAAGAGAGAAGAAAGCTTCTGAGGTGGAAGTCTGGTCTTTATCATAAACTTTGAGATTGAGACATGCTTAACCAGGGAAGACAGTTCTTTTTTCTAACATAAATGTGAAGGGCATGCTGCTTAGAAGGAGTCTGGAGTCAGAACTGTTCCTTGAACCCCATAAGTGGGTCTGTTAAACTTACTGTTTGATGTAAACAACTTAAATTGCCTTTTGTCTTATCTCAGACCTGGAAGTTCCCAACTTTAGAGAGCATGTGAATAGTCTTGGTGTAGTAAAATCCGTCATCTGAGATGGTCTCAGCTGTAAGTAATGGAAGACTAACTCACATGGGCCTAAAGAATAAGGACATTCATTGTCATATAACAGAGTCCTTTGGAGTTTGAGTAGGGTTTTCCATTGGTGGATTTGGTGGCTCCTTGGTGTTTTTGGTCCATTAGAAAAGATTAAAGCTTTAAGATTTGGAAATAGGCATTCTCATCTAAGAAAGAATTATGGGTCTCTGTCTCTGTCTCGTTCTGTCTGTCTTTCTCTGTGTATTTTGTTGAGATTTGTTGGAGTGTTCTACTAGCAAGCTTCACCTCCAGCCCAAGAATACTGTTTAAAGAATACTTTGCTCTGTGTTTTTGAGAGATCACAATTCAAGTTTTAAGAAAATTTGACGTAAAGCTGGCAAAAATTGAGTTCTTCCAGATACTTATTTCTAGTAGATTCAAATGTTTGAAGTTCTGACTGAATGGGGCTTAAATAGTACATTTTCCATAGAGCTGTTTTTAAAATGAGAGATCTGAACTGCTTAAATTAACTTTGGATGTGGTACTAATTGGGGTTTTAAATAACTTTGCTGTGTAAGCGCCTTGATGGTTTTGAGCTGTCCTTTAAAATATAAAGTCAAGAAGGGATTTTAAATTAAATTCTAGTTGTAGACACCTAAGCTAACAGTTGACAGTCACATTTGGGTACCCAAATCTAGGGAGTATAAGAAAGAGCACTGGCCCTGCAGATAGATCTTTTGAGTAGTTATATTAAGGACACTTGTCAGGAGGAAGATGATTCCAGTGTCTGGGTGGCTCCCAGAGAAAGACAAGGAACTAAGGAAAAGAGTACAAATCAAGTCGTCGTAGTGTGCTTCAGATATCTAAAGAAAATAGAAAGAAACATGAAGAAAAAGCAGTACAGAGAGGTGAAAACTGTGGTAGGCATGAGAAATAGCCCAGGGCCCTTCTGGCTGTTGGAACATTGGAAAAGGCAGAATGCGGGGCATGTGTAAACAGCTCTGTGGCACTATTCACTCTGGTATTGGCTACTCACACTAATGGTGCTGGACCTGTAAAAAGCGCTCAAACCATGTGCACTGCACTGTATGGAGCTATGTGGTATATTTCAGCTATCCGTTCATCAGGGACAAGCTGTGAGAAAGGAGTGTTCAGTTTCGGGGGAGCAAACAACTTGGGAGCAAAGCTTTTCTCAATCCTGCCAGATTGACATAGTATCGACACTGAGATGATTTTTAGTGTTTCCCTTCCTCATGTCAAAATGTATTTATCTGGAGAATATAGATGTGAAGAAAATGAAGATAATATCATTTGTGGTATAGCCACCAAGAATAACCAGTTAACCTTTTGGTTCCTTCAGTCACTTCTATCTGTATATTAGAAAAAAAGTAAAAGATGGGTTCACACCACAGGTACCATGCGCATAGGAAGAACAGTTTCTACATCATAATTTTTTCCTCTTGCATGTATGCTTGTGTGTGTGTGTGTGTGTGTGTGTGTGTATCACAGCTTGAATTGTGTGTGTGTGTGTGTGTGTATGTGTGTCACTATCGAGGATGAACTCAGGGTATTATACTCTTATTCACTGTTCTTGTTCATGGTTGCTGCTCTACCACTTGAGCCACACCTCCAGCTGGGCTTTTTGCAGGTTAGTTGCAGATGGAGTCTTACAGACTCTTTTGCATTGGCTGGTTTTGAACTATGATCCTTCAGGTCCCAGTCTCCTGAGTAGCTAGGATTACAGGAGTAAATCACCATTGGTTGACTAAACATATGCTTTTTAATCTTAGCAGATTCATAGCAGAAATAAACAGTTTTGATTTACCTAAAGCTATGTATTTCTTATGTGGAATCATGTAGAAAATCTTAGTGCAAAAATCAAACATCAAGAAAATTTGAAGTAATGAAATGTTAATTCTTTAAGAGTCAGAGCCTATTTGTAAATCTGAGACTTAGAATTAATTCTTTAATATGATAAGTCAGGAGTTCTTGTGTATATGCATTTTAAAGGATTCATTATGAAATACTTTCTTTCTGTTTAGCTTTTTCTGGATATTCAACAAATACGAAGTATGACCCACACCAAATTAAAGCAGAAATAGCAAGTCGCCGGGATAGGGTAAGTAAAACCAGTGTTTTCACAAATAGGAAGTCCCATACATATTCTATGTAACATTACTTTATCATGGTTCATTTTGTGGTTCTCAGCATGTCTAACACTCAGATGTTAGTAAGATTTCAATGTCATGGATTATTATTGCATTTTGTTTTACTTTCTACTTTTTTCCATTTTGAAAGCACGGCTCATCTGACAGATGTAGTCAGTATCCCTGTGCATGTTTCATGGGGCTGAACTCACTGACCAACTGGAAGTAACGTCAGGGCCCTATCTCACAAGGCTGCTCATTTCCCTGAGCTAGCAGGATGCCCACCTTCACTGCAGTGGCTGCCGTTCATTCTCCCTGGGTGACTAGTCACTGAGGGCTGGCTCCTGCAACACTGCTTGACCAGAGAGGTTCTGATATTCCTCCTTTTCTGATGCCTGGATTCCTCAGGTATCACCTTGTCTCATCCCTGTCTACCTGGGAGTCTGGCAAGGGGCACATTTGTGCTGCATTTGTGGTAAATCTCAGGAGACACCTTGGCAGTGAGGCCTCCTGATGTGTCATTCCCGAACCAGGCTTATTTTTTAGTGCAGTGGTTCTTAAAATTTAGCACAGCTAAGAAAACAATCTGGGAAACATCGTAAAAGTATAAGCTAACAGTACCCCACACCTCATGCAGGCCTGAGGCAGGTTCTGAAATCTGTTTAAAACATTACACTGGGCCAGGCACTGGTGGCTCTCGCCTGTAATCCTAGCTACTCAGGAGGCTAAGAACTGAGATCAGGTTCAAAGCCAGCCCAAGCATGAAAATCTGCAAGACCCTTATCTCCAATTAACCACCAAAAAGCTGGAAGTGAAGCTGTGGCTCAAGTGGTAGAGCCTTGAGCAAAAAGCTCGGGGACAGTGTCCAGGCCCTGAGTTCAAGCCTCAGTACCGGCATACACATATATAAATTACACTAGTCAATTTGAGTTTCATGTGGTCATAGAGACCTGCTTTTGCAGACTGTTAACAAAGTGAGATTGATGAGCAGATGAAAGTATCACACAATTGTGAGATGTAAATTGTCATCTTGAAAAAGAACATCATTACCAGCTCCCCATTTGGGTAGATACTTATCAGGACTGGGAATGCTTGAGTCTAACTAAGCAAGGTGGTTTAGTGGCAGTTTTATTTCATATGGATGAATGGAGGTTCATGAGATGACCCAGGGAGTTGCAAGCTAAGTAGAAACGTAGATGCCAGGGCAAATAACTGTTGAAATAATTTTTCACAGCTTATTTTTAGAAAAAATGTAATTTGTCTTTAGCTTTCCAGATTAAAGCGAGAGCTGACCCAGATGAAACAGGAACTGCAGTACAAAGAAAAAGGCGTAGAGACACTACAAGAGTGAGTTGCCTGCATTGTCACTGGCAGCATTTGCCTGTCAGTTTCTTTTGTTCTGACATACTTGGTTCCTGGGTATGTGTCCGAAAGCCTAATGTCCTTCACTTTCATGCCTTTATATATACTTTTTATTTCCAGCCGTAAACACCAGAGTGTCACTTTTTTTTGGGGGGGGGGGTCCAGTCATGGGGCCTGAACTCTGGGCCTGGGCGCTGTCCCTCAGCTCTTCAGCTCAAGGCTAGCGCTCTACCACTTGAGCCACAGCGTCACTTCTGGCTTTTTTCTTTTTGCTTATGTGGTGCTGAGGAATCAAACCCAGGGCCTCAGGCATGCAAGGCAAGCGCTCTACCACTGAGCCACCTTCCCAGCTCCTCTCTCTTTTTCTTGAAGATACTTGTTAGTTTTATTCTTTAAAAATTTCTCGTTCTAGGAATCTTTAACTTCTACTTCCTGCATGAAGAACAGGAAGTGTTTCTCATTTCCATTTCTCTTTGACCTTGTTATACTAAAATGAATCCTTACTAACACTTTCAAAAGAAATTTTCATTCTCATTAAAATTCATTAAAATTAAATTAAATTTTAGTTCCTGAGCCTTAGTAGTCACTTCTAATGTGCTCAGTGGTACACGTGGCTAGTGTGCATTTTCTTTGCCATGAACACTAGTGACAATTTGGGCCACATGACTGTGTAGGGGCCATCCTGTGCACTAAAAAGTTGGGTAGTATCCCTGGCCTCCACCCACTAACTGTTGATAGAACTCACTGTGACAACTGAAAATGTCTCCAGATATTCCCAAGTGTACCCAGTTGAGAAACACTCAGTTAGCAGCTACTGGTTGAGCAGCTCAGAGAAGAGATTTCCATCATTATAGGATGTGCTTGCTGGTGGACAGTCAGTCTCATCTACAAGTCATCTTCTTGTTTGTGTCTTTATACTTAGAATCCCTGTCAATAGTTTGGGATGACTTTCTTATAACTAGTGAACCATCTGAAGCCAGCAAATTAAATAAACAAAATTGTTTTGTTCCAAATGTGATAGTACAATTGGTCTGAAAAAAAATCATTTGTGTTAAGAATGGTGCTGTGAGCTTTTTGGGTGAGTCCTTCTCTCTCTTGATTTGGAGCCTGGCTTCACTGGCTAAAGCTGGGAATGTATTTCACACTTCCTGCATCTAATTTCTAATAGTAAAATGGTGAGTGTCTTTGTCCATTTTGGTTGCTATAACAAATAACCTCTGACTACGTGGCTTAAACCACAGACATTTATGTATTTCATAGTCCAAGACTCCATTCCTAGTGAGAACATCTTTCTTGACTTATACATGGTCACCTTATTGCTGTCTCATTACATGGGTGAGAGAGAGGAGAGAGAGAGAGAGAGAGAGAGAGAGAGAGAGAGAGAGAGAGAGAGAGAGAGAAAGAAAGAGAAAGAGGAGAGTTTGGGGTGGGGGAGAATGAGCACAAAAGCACACACATTCTGGGCCCTCTATTTTCTTTGGGGAATACTAATGTTTTGTAAACCTAATTAACACTCAAAAACCTCACATCCAAATTCCATCATACAAGAGGATCGGTCTTCAACCTAAGAGGCTGGAGGGGACACAACATATAGTTCCTAACACTAATGATTGTTCTCTGTTGTCCAGAGGGCAGCACTAGTGCCTGCTACTTAACCTTCAAAAAAAAATCAGGAACCAAGCCAGGTGCTGCTGGCTTGCACCTGTAATCCTAGCCACTCAGGGGGCTGGGATCTGAGAATCATGGTTCAAAGCCAGCCCAGGCAGGGAAATTTGTGAGACACTTATCTCCAATTAGCTACCAAAATACCAAAAAAGCCAGAAATGGAACTGTGGCTCAAGTGGTAGAGCACTAGCCTTGAGCAAAAGAGCACAGGGACAGCACCCAGGCCCTGAGTTCAAGCCCCAGGACTGGCACCAAAAAAAAGAAAAAAAGGGTGGGGGCAGGAATTTACATTTTTTTTTTTGTGATTGACAAAGGTGAGCAACATAACATGCTTTGTATCCTGGGTGTAGAGACTCACTGTGTGTCAAACATGACTGTAGTGTCACTCTTTATGGAAAGATAATAGGTGAATGTGTCTGACAAGTTTAATTATCTCAGCCTTGTATAAATGGCAAGAACTGGGCATGTCAAGCCCTATTGTTAAACACTAAATTAAGATTGACTTTCTTAGCCAGAACTCCTTTCTGTGTCGTTATATATTAAGATCATCTAGGCATCAGGGGAAACACAGGAGAAAGGTGAACTGGGTCTGCCTAGAGGGACTTTGGTTTTTTTTCTGGCTCTGATTCTCTGGGCCTCTAAAAGATGGTGGTTTTTAGAAACTGCCATGCCCCCTGTAGGTGGGTTTTGATAAATCCATTTTTTCCAAGGCATTGCCAACTCTGTTTGCATATATTGTCCTGTCCTACTTGGTTTTTTTTCTTTCTTTTTTTTTTTTTGGGGGGTCTGGTCGTGGGGCCTGAACTCGGCCTGGACGCTGTCCCTCAGCTCTTCAGCTTAAGGCTAGTGCTCTACCACTTGAGCCACAGCGCCACTTCTGGCTTTTTTTCTTTTTGCTTATGTGGTGCTGAGGAATCGAACCCAGGGCCTCGGGCATGCAAGGCAAGTGCTCTACCGCTGAGCCATCTTCCCAGCCCCCTACTTGGTTTTTTTGTATATATTTTTATTGTAAAAATATTATACAGAGGGATTAAAGTTACATGAGTAAAGAGTACATTTCCTGTTGAGCATTATTTCCTCCTTTGTTTTTCTCCTACCATCTCTTTCCTCCCCAACTCCCCCCCCCCCCAAGTTGTAAAGTTCGTTTTCAACATAGTGTCTTGTACAGATCTCATTGTTACAATGGGTCGATCTGTATCCTTACTTCATCATTTTGTTACTTCCCTTCCCCTCCCCAAATTAGAAAAATGTATATACAAGATGCAGGGCACCAACATCAAATACAGTGAAAACGGGTTATATAGTGGGGGAAGAACATACAAAAGAAACAAAAATAATCACATGGTACATAATAAATGCATTAAAAACAACAGCAAGAAAGAAAAAACCACTTGTGTCCCTGTCATTTTGCTTAGCATCATCTTTTTTATTTTATTGTGAGAATACCGTACAGAGGAGTTACAATTATGTGGCCAAGATAACGAGTACATTTCTTATCAAACATTGTTGCCTCCTCTTTGTTTCCCCTTCCCATCCCTTCCCATACTCTACTTGGTTTATACAGCTGTTTTTCTCATTTTTTAGTGTTTTTTTTGTTGGTCATGGAACTTAAACTTTGGGCTTGGGCGCTGTCCTCGAGCTCTTCAGCTCAAGGCTAGCATTCTACCACTTGAGCCACAGCCCCACTTCCAGTTTTCTGGTGGTTAATTGGAGATCAGAGTCTCACAGCTGGCTTTGAACCATGATCCTCAGATCTCAGCCTCCTAAGTAGCTAGCATGACAGGCGTGAGCCACCAGCACCCAGTGTAAAAGTTTTAGGCAAATCAAACTACGTATCCAGTGCTTGTGCTGGCTACTGGTTTTTATTGCTCATTTGGTTCATTTGCTACATGCTTCCCAATCCACTGATACAAGCTCTGTCTATAACCTATTAATTTCTATAACCTCTATATCCTAGCCAGCCTCAAGCTTCTCAGATTTCTCCCAGTGTATGTAGTGTATGTAGCGGCTATGTTATCCTGTACCCCTTCTGCTAAAGGGATAGGGGAAGAATGAGAACAAGTAAGCAATTGAAATTGATAGATCATTAGAAGGTATCTGGGCAGCCTAGTTGAATTGGAGGTGGACTTCCTGTTCTGATTGGGCCCTACTTTAGTTTTCTCTCACTACTCTACAGTGTCTATGGATAATTTATTACCTTGATGCTAGGTATGCTTGAACTAGATTGTAGTTTATTTCTCACTGGCAGAAACTGAAGAAAGTAACTGGAGCTCCGGAAGAGTCTAAGACTAGAGTCTAACCGGAAGCTAAACCCTATGCTCTTCTTTCTAGACCCAGCACCAGCTCCTTTGCCAGGGCTCCATCATTTTGAGCAGCTCCATCTCCCTGTTGGAAGGCAAAGGTTCTATTGCAATGTTTTCTTAAGGCTGAATAGCCTAGAAAATAGAATGTGCTGGAAACCAAGAAAACTGCCTTGCCCTTGCCCTTGCCCTTGTCAGGAAGTAAATCCATCCAGTGCAGTTGTCATTTTGTGAATGAGAAATGGCAATCTGTGTTTCTCTCAGTGGGTAGGCAGGGACATAGTAGCCACCATACGGAGAGGGTTAACTGCTCCTGCAGCCAGTGTGGAGTATGAGTTGTGCTTCTGGATGAAAGAAGGACGGTACTGTTTGTATTTGTATTTATATTTTTGCTTTCATTAGCAAGGTCCCACGCTTGAGAGCAGTGATTGTAAACTTGCCTCTTGCCAAGGGGAGGCTGCTAGTGCCTGCCAGAGCTGATGGGGACACCCGCCCTCTCTGGGGAGGTGGAGGAATGGCTGGGAAGGCTGTGGACCTGGCCTTGGTCCTGAGGGGCCCTTCCCAAGCTTGTGTCCCACCAAGAGGCTAGGCAGCCTTGCCTGGAGGAGCTGCCGAGTGAACTCTGGCTTACTCAAGCACATTGCCCTCTGTTTGAAGCTTTATTGTCACTATGTTTCCTGTGTTCTGTGATTCAACCTCAGGAAGAGGAGAAAACTTGAGCACTGAACCGATGTCATTCTTAAAATTCTTTGTAAGTTAAAAATAATCTGATAGTTTTTCTCTGAGTTTCACAGGCTATTTTTCTGGTGTCAAGGATTGGACATTTATGTTTGGATCAAGTGATGCAAATTCATATTTATTATTTATTGAGATATTTTGGAAGCATTTTAAGAATTGAAAATGTAATTACCTTATGTTAGTTATGAGTCCTGACTGCAAGTACAGAAAACATATGATCTATTGTACACAAAGGTGAAGCTTCTCTGGTTTTATTACCAACATTGATTTAAGATTTAAGGT